CACCGCTCGAACTGCACTATATAGTAATGGGATGAAGCAATGAGCGAGGCTGGGCTTTCGACCAGCATCTTTTCCGCTCGTCTGCACCCGCGTGTACCTCAGTCGAACTCGTCGCTGTCTGTCTCGTCGATAGGGTGTAGACGACAGTGACCCAGCCTTCCTGCTGACTGCCATTCCAACTATCTCAGTGCCTGACATTCGTCCAGGCTATTCTTATTCATTTACGTTTGCATTTCGTCTTTGCCTGTGTTCTTTTTTCCGCTACAATCTTCTACTGTCTAGGTAAGAACGATGGAAGTGATACGAGCGAGCTCTTGAGAAAAGATCAGCTATTCGACTTTTGGGTAATACTTATCATCGATGATAATATCAAGTTACAGTTTTGTCAAAGGTGAGTTAGTTTGCGGGCTAATGAGTATTTTGATTTTCTGAATGATTGCTCACAAGTACTGTTTTTGACTGATTCTTGCACTGTAGAATCCAATCCGAAGTCGCTTTTTTTCAGAGAAAATGGACGTCACTATCGCATTTTTGATCTCGCATGGCGTAAATGTCGTCAGACGATTCGTGTGGTGAACCAGGTATGTGAATTCGATTTCTGGGCTCAGCGAGCAAGTTTTCCGATCAGAAATGAGGGTAGAACAGCTGACTGTGAGAGAGCTGAGGGTCTTTCTGGTGTAATGTGATGGTGAGCATACAAGCTGTATGAGAATGAAGTTTAAGACAAACTGCACAATCACCTTTGAGAATGATCCTAGCCAAGAATGGGGTGAACGGTTCGCAGTTGCAGTAGCATTTTCCCCGCTCAGTAGTGCACCGGAACGGCGTTGCGGTAAGTAGGGCCCAGATGCCGTATCCATACTCCCCCGCATTGCGCCCTACCAGCCACACGCCTAGCTACAGTCAAACGCGCTACTTGTCTGCGCTCTCTCACTTCTGACCTGGACATAGCATAGGATGCTGTTTTCGGGGATTTTCTCTTCCGCCCTGTTTGCGACAACTGATGTCTTCTCTAGGGTTGGGCAAAGACATCATTACATTTGTTCTGAAACGGCGATGCCCCACCAAACGCGCAGCTGCCACGACTCAAATGAAGTGCTCAGCCACGACCTCCCCTACCTCCGTCCCCGAAACCTAGAGTATACATATGAATCAGTTCGAACACTTTTTTGCTCAGTGATCTTATAAAGCTTCATATTCTCACGTTTTCTCATTCAGGAGTTGTTGCTCAATCGAATGTTTGAATTGAGAGAGTGTGATTCGCTGCTGATGACAAACATGTTTGACTCTATTTCACTACACGACGGCTCGTTGGATCGTAGTAATACTTCATCAGGTACAAGATTTACTTTTTTGGCCCGAACCCAGGTTTGCAGGATTACATTTTATTCTGCTTCTCAACGTAAGGACCTTGAAGTCACATCCCATGGTACCGAAGAGTGCGAACTCACAACTATTGTATCTTCCTCATTAGGGCCCATTTTCCTTGTAATATGAAAAGGTCTGGGAGTACACCAACGAATTGTGCCTAATTGTTCCAAAGCTCCGCCCATTTGATTATGGTGAAATGTCCAATGGCAAAGATGGCTTTTGATTTTCGTAGATATTCTTTGAGGTTCATGTTCAGTGAATAATTTCCATAATTGTTTTCCAGTGTCGGAGGATCAGGAAGTGGATACACACATTGCTCATGGAGCCCGTTTCACTTTTCCACCTGGTTACTTTGCTTGTCCACTACAGAAGAAGTTATGGTTAGTGAATTGTGAATCATATTGGAATTCGAAGGCAGAGGTCGCACTGCTCATGTGAGCATCCCTTTTTGGTACTACAACCCGATTGGATGCCCACTGAAAGGTGGGTATCAAGGGTGTAGGTGTACCAGATGCCGTCCACTTTTAACCAGTTCGATCTCATCAATCGAGTATGTGACACGGCTCTTCATCTTTTCACTCAGTTAGTGGAGCAAAATGAATTTGTATAGGTTTGAAATTCATCCACGTTTGCGACTTCCACGTGGTAGTGGACGCGATCCGTTAGCGGCAGGTTGTGAAGCGTTACGTATGTCGTTGGAGAGGTTTTCTATACGTAACAGACCGAACACATACGTCGTAAGGTAAGCAGTGTCTATAAGGACGTTTAACCTTGGGCAAGGCATTGGAAGGGTCCCTTATGCAACCGAAAAGAAGAAAATACATCAATTGAAAAACTGCTACAGAAAACAGGTGGTTTGTGCCGTCAGTTAGCTCCAGAAAAAAAGAGGGATTAACTCCAATTAGATTTGCTGTATTGAAGTTGGTTAACCAATCCTCGAGCCCTTCTCCCCTTTGAGCTCATCCAAAAGTCTTTACATCTGCTGCGGTAATTCGTTCTGCACTAGGAGTCTTTCAAATGCCTCCGATATTAGCGCTTCAGTTGAACTTGCAAATTCAATTTATACGGAACTGCTCGCGCTATAGTTAGCGTTTGAGTCACAAATGAGACTGTTGCCCTGAAACATTCAGAATGAGGGCCAAGGGTTTTCCTGGAGTTCCTGTAAGTAGGTGATCTCTTTGCCGGAGCATTGGTTATGTTATGGAAATCTAGAGAGAGAGAGAGAAAGAAAGAAAGAAAGAAAGCATGTGAACTCCTAAGGTATTCTGTCTGTTTATAATCATTTTTAAGAGAGTCCGATGGCAGTGTTTCGTATATGCAACTTCATACGTCGATAGAAACATTCAATGCGTCATTGAAACGTCATCGAATAAATGTGAAAAAGAGAAAGGAACCAAAGTAGGTTTGCTTTTTTGAAAACGTTGTTTCGAATTTGGAAGTTTTATATTATGATAACTGCTGTTTTACGCCGCAGTTCGCGCTTCGAAAGTTATCACAAGAATGCTGAGTTATGGGCAAAAGTCGAACCCCAGGCGGGAGTCGAACCCGCACCTCACGCTTTCCGGGCGAGTGCGCTATCCGTTACGCCTTTTACCCTCTCAGCTCAACGGCTTTTATGCTGTAGCCTACCAGCACTCACACGAATGTTTTTAGAGGCTGTTGAGAATCAGCGAAAGTTTTTTTAGTGTGAAGCTTCACATGTCATCAGTCACCTAGGTCTAGGACATTGAGTTTAGAATACGGTCTCTACTGTCGCGAGAAGGTGAATCCATCCACCATCGCCGACAAGTTTGAAAAGCAACTGTTCAAGGTATCAGCCTGACGCAACGACAAGTTCTGGGGTGTAGTCGCTCGCGTGCAGGTTTCTAGAGTCTGTCGCTCCACTACCGTACGACATAGCCGGCCGTGCCGTTAGGACAACGTCTCTATGGTTCACGATTTGTTTTCACTACTGAATCGGATAAGTTAGTTGCTTGTGAAGCGTAATAACCAGAAAAGGATGGTTGGTCGAAG